ATGCAGAAGTCGTCGAGCCGTTGCCTTTTATACTGTGTGACTCTCGTAAACTCTCCTGAGCCACTCCCTTTTCCACTGTCCAGCCAACCCTCACCTTGACGACGGCGAAAGTAGTATACTCTAATTATCTCTGGATGAATTGTAAGGAAGCAAATAAGCAAAATGCATTCGTACGTCACATATATATATATACGTCAATATATATATAAATATAAATGTAAACACAAATACAAATGTAAGTGTACGTCTAAATCATACAGCAGACATTTAGACCACGGGGTATATGAATGGAGTTTAAGAATTTAATTGCGGAAGGAACTTTGTTCATTATCTTATAAAGTAGAAACATGATCTGTGATGGCGTTGCCTTTCAAGGGATAAGTGCCTTGTAACGGCAAAGATATAATCGAAAACTGAACGGGTGCAACTTTCATAAGTAATCTCAGCGATTTCAAAAATAAATAATCTAGAACTATAAGTATTTACTAATATAGGCTGACTAACCTGTTCGCGTAGGCAATTCCGGAGAATCTTGTTCGTGGCGAAGACGAAGGACCATATGGAGGGTAGAAAAGTGGTTTCAAGGAATTGAAAGAGAAAAGCGAGAGAAAATGAGAGAAAAAAAAGAAACATAGACAGCAAAAGAGCTAGATAAACAGACAGACACAAATATAGATAAGCAGAGAAAAAGATAATGGATAAGAAGACATACAAAAAGATAGATGAGCAAACTTTTGCTATGTATGTATCTTCACTGAATAAATTAGATAAGGCTTCTCATGATTTTTTTGGAAAACGTAAACTAAAATATATATAGATAGACACAAAACCACTCCGAACCCCCCCCCCCCTCCACCACACGCACAAACACACATTATATGCATGATATATACATACATGTACGATAAAATGTCTTCGAACGCAGGTACTTTTATTTTTGTATTGTTATAATCTCTCAAATTTGATACCGTAAAATACTGGTATGCTGTTATCAAATACCATATACCGGTATACTGTTATCAAATACCATAAAAAGCGTTCAGCTGCTTCTTAGTTTCCCAAAGGTGAATTTCAATTCTCTTCTTTCTTCTGCTTCTTCGTTTTCTTTTTTTCCCTCTTCTTCCTCATAATAATGATAGTATTGATAATAATAATAATGTACATATATAGATATAGATATATATAGAGATATATACAGACACACACACACACACATATATATATATGTATATATATACATATATACACATCCATATACATATATACATATATATATATATATTCATATATATATGTATAAACATACATCCATATATATACAGACAAATAAATAAATATATATATATGCACACACACACCTATGTGTATATATGTACATTTAAAAATATGTATATATATATGTATACACACACACGCGCGCGCACACATATACATGTGTATACATATGAATGTTTCTATATACATATATTTGTATTTTTATGAATGAATGGGAATATGAATATATATATATATATATATATATATATATATATATATATATACATACATAAATATATATACACACATGAATGCATACATACATATATATGTATGCATATAAAGGTATATATATTGGTATATATATATACATATATAGTATATATATATGTGTGTGTGTGTTTGGACTTACCTGCTCGTGTAAATCCCTTTATACCATATTTTTATGGCCTTCATAAAACAGAAAGGGCGTCACTCTAATGCCTATTATAAATAGGCATTAACTAGTGTTTTATTTCAAAAATATAGATAAGCAGAATATACTTCAGAAAACTCAACAACCTCGCTCGTGCTATCAATTTTAAAGAAGAATAGAAAGATTCAGGTAGATTACCTTTTTCGACGTTCTTATATTCAATGCAAATGGCTTGCTTAAATTTCCGGTTTACCATAAACCTACTCACACTGCTAATTTGAATTTATTGATCGGGAGCTCGATGTAATTTTTGAGATGTTTTCGGAATTAATAAATCCTTTTCTTAAATCAATCACATTCATCTGCAAGATGGAAATCTTATACTCATTTCCGTAATATCGAACACGATAATGCCAATAATCTATTAATCATTCCGTATAACCCGTCCCTCGATGAAAAACGACATATGTTCAAAGACACTGTAATTGACATTGTTTTTGCGTATTCAAACGCGTAGCATAATACTGTAGTTAAGCACTATGCGGCTAGCGGTGCTCTTGAGACTTGCCCCAAGTTTTACATAGCGAGAACGATAGAATTTTCGAAAAAAAAAGAAAGAAATGAACTTAAACGCGATGTTAGATATGCCAGAGAATAAAATGAGTGTTTCGTTGATTTACGTTATGGTCACCAGCTTAACTGGAAAAGTGCTATATTCATTCATAAATCAGTAAATTGGTATGAAAAAATGCTAGCTCTGTTAATTAGAAAAATGCGTAATTTTAACTTGGGTACTGGTTGATGGGGCTTGGATGATCTTACCTCCTCGTTAGTAGAGCCCTCCCCAGACTCTTCGACCTTGACCCTACTCCTGAGACCTGATTCATCTCTTCTGTCTTTCTACCACTATATATTCTTTTCAAAATTCTCTCGAAATTGTATGTGTATATATATGTATATATGTGTATGTATATATATGTGTGTGTATATGTATATATATGTATGTATATGTATATAAATATACGTATATATGTATATATGTACAAATATGTATACATGTATATATGTATTATATTTGTATATATATGTATATATATCTATAGATATGTATGTGTATATATGTATATGTTATGTATATATATATGTATATATTATGTATATATATATGTATATATTTATGTATATATACATATATATTACAAATATATACATATATATTACACATATATATGTAAATATATCACATATATATTACATACATATACATACATGTGTGTATATATGCACATATTTATATATGTATATATTGTGGAATGTACCATTCACCTAGAGTGGGCGTGGCACTCCAGTTGTCACTCCACATACGCACCTGTATATACATGTATCACCTGCGCGTGATTCTTATAGTTCACCCCGCATCCCGTTTTCTTTCTTTTCTTTTTTTTTTTTGCTTTTATTTCTATCAATTGTATTTGTTTGTTTTATTGTTTCTAGGTTTACTTCATGTGTCTGATTTGTATTTTATTTCGTTTTTGTATTATTTTAAAGTCGTGTTTTACGGCTACCTATTTTTTATTTACGATTTCTTCGTTCGTGACGTGACACTGCACATTTGAATATTCACAGTTTTTACATTTTTTTAACTTAATGATTTTATCTTGTAATAATGATCTCTTTTATTATCTTATCTTATTAATGTACGTTTTCCAAATTCACGAGTTTTAATTTTACTGTTTTATGATTTTAGTATGTTTTAGTTTATTCATAAACTCTTTCAGTTCACGTCTTTAGGGCTTTTATTTAATGATTTAGGTATTTTTATGTTGTATGTATCATTCCCATGACATTATGTATTCTATATGATTTTATTTGTTTTTATTAAGAAAAATGATTCGTTATGTTGTGACGTCACGAGTTCTCGAGTTCCCGGGAACTCAAAGAATAAACAGTGTCAACTGGTACTTTGTTTAATTTTACTGTTTTATGATTTTAGTATGTTTTAGTTTATTCATAAACTCTTTCAGTTCACGTCTTTAGGGCTTTTATTTAATGATTTAGGTATTTTTATGTTGTATGTATCATTCCCATGACATTATGTATTCTATATGATTTTATTTGTTTTTATTAAGAAAAATGATTCATTATGTTGTGACGTCACGAGTTCTCGAGTTCCCGGGAACACAAAGAATAAACAGTGTCAACTGGTACTTTTTTTTTTTTTGCTGGACGTGTCAAGCATATTGAAGGGAATTCATGTAATATTTTACATAGATGAGTTCAAGTAACGTAAAGTATAAATCCAGTGATGCTCATTTAAAATACTAGCTCTTTTTGCTTTTTATTTTATCTTTCTTTTATTTTTTTTTTAACAATGTATATATGTATCAAGTGTTTGCCTTTTATTTGCGGTTATTTTTACTGAACATTTACTTTTCTTACCTATACTTTTACCGATCCTTTTTACTACTCTGCTTTTACTATACTTTTACTGGCCTTTTTACTTTATTTTTACTCTTTTACTAATTCTTTTACTCTACCTTTACCATACTTTTAATACTTTTACTAAGCTATTGGTATCCTATTTTTACCCTTGTTCCCGACTATTTCTACCACGCTTCTGTGCCTACCGCTCGTGCTACTACTACTGCTATTGCTCGTGCTACCACTACTACTGCTATTGCTCGTGCTACCCCTACTACTGCTATTGCTCGTGCTACCCCCACTACTGCTATTGCTCGTGCTACCACTACTACTGCTATTGCTCGTGCTACCACTACTACTGCTATTGCTCGTGCTACCACTACTACTGCTATTGCTCGTGCTACCGCTACTACTGCAATTGCTCGTGCTACCACTACTACTGCTATTGCTCGTGCTACCACTACTACTGCTATTGCTCGTGCTACCGCTACTACTGCAATTGCTCGTGCTACCACTACTGTTATCACTACTGCTATGGCTACTACTACTGCTACTATCACTACAGTGGAAGGACACTAGGAACGATAAAAACAACAATGTTAGACCTTTCAAAGGAGTATTGTTATTATTACTGTTGCATTGCAAGAGGAGTGAACGTGACCCCTAACTTCAATCTTCACCTGATCCCTAAGCCTCTCCTGCCTCACGGGAGATTTTAATTCGGGCTCCTCTGTACAGATGGTACCTGGCCTTGAGCTAGGAGTATACCTTACAATATGCAAGCCTGTATTTTTCATCCGTTTCGACACATAATCTTTACGGTTACACAAATATTTGTTCACACACAATGAACTTTGTCAATATTTCCAGGTTGAAAGTAATACAACTAGATGCTTGGGTTTTCGTTTAATAAATATCTTGCATATATTAGTTCATACACACTTAGGCGGAAGTAGGGACGGGTTCATAGGCTGGGGCGGGCTTGTAAGCAGGAGCAGGCTTGTAAGCAGGAGTAGGCTTGTAGGCAGGAGTAGGATGGTACTCGGGGTACTGGGCTTCACCCTCGTAGCTGACCTCAGCTACGTAACCAGAGTCGCCGTTGACAGTGTAGGTGACCCTCTGCAGACGACCGTCGGGAAGGAGGACGAAGTAGGAACCCTGAGTGTTGTATCCGTCGCGTGCTTCCTGGTGACCGAAGTCGTTTCCGGAGTAGTCGTCCTTGACAGCGTAGTTGAAGTCGTACTTAGCAGGAGACTGAAAAAAATCCTTATTAGTATGAAACTATGAGACAAGATACACTGATAAGCAGATTTAAGTATAAAACCCTCAGAATACGGGATATTGCTTACGTCATAAGTTGCCGGAGGAGAGTAATCGTAAGAAGGCTGTGAAGGAGCAGCCAAAGCGACGGCCACAAGGACGAGAGCGACGACGGTCTGGAATACGTCACAAAATGTCAGATATAGGGAGGATAAGAAGATAGAAATAGAGAGTAAGAAATGAAAAGAACTATTGAAAGAGGAACGGGTATATAAACTGAGAAATTAACATGGCTGATTAATAAGAAATCGATGTATATATGTGTATATATGGACATACAACACATAACTGTATATATTGTGTATAAGGACTTCTTTAGACTAGATTCGCACCTTAGTGAACATGATGAAGATAGATGATCGACTGAGATGCATCAGACGTCGAGCCGTTGCCTTTTATACTACGTGACTCTCGTCAACTCTCCTCAGCCACTCCCTTTTCTACTGTCCAGCCGACCCTCACCTTGACGACGGCGAAAGTAGTATCTTCCAATCTGAATGAAGTATAAGGAAACAAATAAGCAAAATGCAT